CAATAGCATATGACTCTTTAACTACTGGAACTGGTATAACAGATGTTCCAATCCCCCCCCCCCCCCCCCCTCTCTTTCTTTTTAAGATCTCTCACTTATGCTTATAGATATTCTAAATGTTCCAAAGTGGTCCACTTGCTTTATTTCAATACAAAAACTTTGCTCAATGTATTTTAACATCATCATTCGAGAAAGGTGATTGAATGTGCTATGGAACATAACAGCTTTACTATCTCGAGACAAAGCAACCTATATGATAGCAAGAGTAAATTACCCCTTCCATTTCTTTCTGAGCACTCTTCATCCAATAAAGACAAAATATGGCTTTACCATTGTAAATTAGATCATCCATTATTTAGGTCTCTTACATTATGTTTTCTTCTCTATGTAAAAGATTTGATATTAAAACCTTGTGCGATGTGTGTGAATTTGTAACACAAATATACACATTTTCTCAACAGAAAAAAAAAAAAGTTGAATTCCATTTTCTCTAATCCATATTGACATTTGGAGTCCTAGTATTCCCAATATTTCTAAAACATGCTGGTTTGCATCATTGATTGAATGATTACACCAGTGTCTCTTCAGTTTGTTTGCTAAAAATAAATCTGGTGAGAGTTTTGTTTTTCCAAATTTTTATAAGATGGTACAAATCCTTTTTGGTGTCAAATTCAAATTATTTAGGTTCAATAATGTGAGGGTGATGGAAAAGTTTCCACGGAGATAATGCTCTCAATTCGAGAAGAGAAGCTTTCTCCCAAACACTAGACTAGAAAAGAGGAAAATTAATCACCAAACAAAAGATGTCCACAAAACAAACCCTAACTCCTTCTTATACTCACATAATTCCCCCCATAATATCCTAACTACCCTTATGACAAACAAATTACTCTTCCTCATGCATTTGTTAGGCCCGTTGGGCCCAACCTCCTCCTCCTTTTCCTTCAGCCAACCGCCCAAGTGGGCGGTTATTCCCTCCCTCTCCTTCGGCCAACCGCCCAAGTGGTGGGCGGTTCCTCCTTTGGTAAACAGAAACCGGCCTAGTTTGGGCCGGTGTTGCTATGGGATGGATCGGCTGGTCCGGTCCATCATCACTCTCCGGCCAAAGATTAACCTTGTCCTCAAGGTTGAAAGCAGGAAACTGGGCTTGTATGTTCTCATAGGCCTCCCAAGTAGCATCATGTGTCGGTAGATCTTTCCACTCAATCTAAACTTCTTTCCCTCCTTCCTCAGTGTGTCTAACCCCCTTTCAATGAAGCAGGCTCTAATAGACTTGTACCCTCTTCAGACAATGTTGGCGGTAAAGTATCGATTGGTACAGAATCTCCTTTGAACTTCTTTAATTGTGACACATGGAAGACTGGATGAATCGTAGTAGTGGGTGGTAACTTCAGGCGATATGCTACATTCTCAATCTTCTGCTCTGTCTCATAGGGGCCATAATACCTTGGAGCCAACTTAACACTTAACCTCCTTGCTAAAGTATTCTGTCTATAAGGTCTCAACTTTAAGTATACAAATTCCCCAATCTCAAACTGAACATCCTTCCTATGATGATCTGCTGCCTGCTTCATGATGTTCTGTGCTCGTAACAAGTGTCTCTTCAGCTCTCTCAAGATTTCATCCCTTTCTGACAATTGTTGCTCCACTAGAGATATTGATGTAGAATGAGACTTGTACTGTATCAGGGTTGGAGGATCCCTTCCATAAAGCACTTTAAAAGGTGTGACCTGCGCTGCTTTGTGAAAAGAAGTGTTGTACCAATATTCCGCCCAAGGTAGCCATTTTACCCAATGCTTGGGCTTCTCTCCTGCAAAACATCTAAGGTAAGTTTCCACACTTCTATTGACTACCTCAGATTGCCCATCTGTCTGAGGGTGGTAGGCTGAACTGCGCTTCAAATGTGTCCCTTGTAACTTGAACATCTCCTTCCAAAAGTGACTTAGGAACACTTTATCTCTGTCAGAGATTATCGACTCAGGAAAACCATGAAGCCTCACAACCTCTCTGATGAAAACTGCTGCAACGGTAGTGGCATTAAAAGGATGTCTCATT